TTGTGGCGTTACATTTCTTTCCCCCTTAAAGAAATTTCGTCCCCGAAATTTCCTTAGGTGAAGTCATTTAAAATGATGATGTATAAAATCATGAATATCCATTGTTTTTATAAAACACCAATTTCGAAAAGTTGTTTTTCTCTTTGTTTTGTTGAGTGTCATGAGTATGACATACATGTTCTCTTTCGAGAAAGGATATACGCGGATGATAGGTGTAACGTGTTTGAATTCCTTTCATGGAGACTTGCGTCGAATATACTCTTAGACTTGCTCTTGTCGTGTTGTAGGAGTATAGGTTGCGTTTCTTGAATGTGGGGTAATTTACAAAATTTCCGTTTCTGAAATTCTTTGAGAATCATTCTCAGAGTTTGTCTGGAATGTTGGTTTCACAAATTACGCCTCATTGTGTACAATCTGGAATGAATTGTTTCTAGGAGTTTGAGGGCTCTGTCGCCGGCCCCGCGCAGGAGAGCGACTCCCGCTCGCCCTCCGTCGAGGAGATAGCCAAGGCGGTCGAGGTCCCTCTTCAGTCCGAGCCTCGTAACCAGAGGCGGACCATTCTCGAGGACTCGGGGATCCGAGCGCAAAGGTGCACCCTTACTCGGGAGGAGTACCGCAAGGCGAAGCGCCTAGCCTCGGCGCCGGGCGTTACCGTGTGCCGTCCCACTTCCGAACAGTCAGTCTTTGATGCTCCTTCGGGTTGCTTCGCCATCCACCTCAAGTCCCTTGAGTACGGGTTCCGCTTCCCCCTCCATCAGTTAGTCATAGATTTTTTCCTCCATTTTGATTTTCTCCCTTGCCAAGTCGTGCCCAAATCCCACCGCTATTTGGCGGGATTTCTCATTCGTTGCCAAGGGACCGGGGTTCGCCCCGACCTGGCCCGTTTCTTGCTTCTCTTCCGGTTGGCGAAGTCGTCTGGCCGGGCGAACTCCGACTCGGGCTCGTATGCCTCAATATTCCAAAGACAGGAGAAGCTCTTCAAGACGAGAAAGGACTCCGCCAAGAGTTGGAAGGGGAAATTCGTCTTTGTTTCTCTTTCCTCGGGCTCCCCTTTTCGTAAAGAACCCCTCAGCTCCTTTCGCCGTCGCTCCGCGTGTGTCACCTCGGACAAGATACTTGAGGACGTAGAGACGCTCTGCCGAGGGGGGCCCTTCGAAGTCGGTTCGATAGTAACGAACGATGCTTTAGCGGCACTCAGCTTCGTTTTCCTATCCCCGGATGATACTCAGCGGAGCATCGAAGAAGGCCCCTCAGGTCAGTGCAATCTCTCCTCCTCGGCCATCCGTAGGTCGCGACTACCTCGGATTCCCCCGCGTCGCTCTTTTGCGGCTAAGTCCTCGCCTCATCGCTTGTCTTTTTTTGGTTTGTGCAGGTGAAATCATGCTCTCCAGCGCCGAGCGACTGAACCTCATGTTCCCGGATGCCCCTAGCGGCAACTCCCGGGCTCCTACCGTGGCTGGTCGTCCTCTGACTCCCCCCGTGAAGCCAACCCCCGAGGCGGCCCAGAAGAAGAAGAGAAAGGAGACGGCCTCGGCCAATGATACTCCCCAGGGGTCCGAATCCCCGATGATGAAGGATTTCGGCCACCCGAAATATGTCAAGGCGGCCTTCCCTGCAGGGGTCTCCTTTCTGGACCGGGACTACGACCCGGAGACCTTTCTGCGTAGCTTGACTCCTCTCACCGATCGCGCCAAAATCCAGGACGTCGACCAGGAAACTCTGGCCTCGGATATGTTTCACGAGATGGGCTCACAGGTATGCACTAATATTTTGATGGTTCACACTGACACGAAGTACTAGTACGTTAACAAAAATTTACACTGACATAAAGTGTTGGTACGTTAACAAAAATTAACATTACACCAACACAAAATGTTGGTACATCCCTGCGATGTACAAATTCTTGGGGTACAAATAACATTATCCTATTTAAGATGTCTTTAGTAGCTTTGATATGATTGAATCTAATCTAAATTTTTGAAACTTTGATTTGATCTGACTTGATCTAATTATATCTGATATGATTGAATCTAATTAAATTTAAATTTGATTTAAATTAACCTTATAATTATTACAAGAAATTTAATAATTGAAAGTACTACAATCCATATATACATAGAAAAAAGTAAAACAAGAAACCGTTGACAATAACTAATTTTGTCCTAAATTCACCCTCGTCTATATTAAAAAATTTTAAGTTTAAAAATAAGTATTTATAAGCATAAAGTATTTATGGTTTTAAAAATTAAGTTTTGTACTGCCTCCGTCCCTGTTTTGATTACAAAATGTGAGTTGCGATGTAAAATTCCACGATTCTAGAAATTATTTTATTTACAAATTAGTAAATCAATAATAAATAAAAATTACATATTAAAAAGTACGTCTAGAGTTCTACAGAACAAGAGATAATAAGAATATTTTATTTTATCAAATAATCAATGAAAACACGAAAATAAACAAAAATTGTCGAGAGGAAAGACAAAATAAAATTGTAATAAAAATGGGGACAGAGGGAGTATAATTCTTTTATAAACAAATGTATTTCTATAAAAAAGCATTTAAAAAAAACTCTTTTAGAATATGAAAAATATAATTTTTTAAGTCTTAATTTTGCTTTCATGCATCATTTCTACAAGCTAAACAATTACTAGTAATGATAATTTGTACTAGTTGATATAATAATAATAATAATAATAACAAATTTAAAGTTATAATATTAATTACTCCCTCTGTCCCTAAATATTTGCCACGGTTACTATTTTGGGCTCTCGATAATTTTTGTTTGTTTACTCATTTTTGGTGATCATTTGATAAAATAAAATATTCTTGTTGCATCTTGTTTTGTAGAACTTTTGATGTACTTTTAAACAGTGTAATTTATAATTTTTATTTGGAAAAATTACCCAAAATAATCTCAACTTTACCCGGTCTTTAAAAAATAATATAATCTCACCTTTCACTGTGATGCATAATAATCCCAACTTTACTGAAATTTGCTAATTTTGGATCGCCGTTAAATTTCTAACGGAGGGTTAACGGAAATGCCCGTTTTAGGCAACAAAATGAAAGTTGGGATTATTTTTGATGAATTTTTGTTTTCTAATTTTTTTTGAAATTTTTATTTAAATTTTTTGAATTACTTTCAACCTCCATTTCTTTTTCTTTTTTAAAGATTATTCTTACCTTAGAAAAAAATAGATATAAAAAATAATGAAAATGAGAAAAATAACTAAAACCATACAAAATTAGTCAAATAAATAATGTAATCAATAGAAATTAAACAGAAACTGGTAAGAAATAAAATAAATATATACGGAGTGGTGAGTTTTAACATTTTACACACTATACGGAGTCTTAATGTACTACTTATTTTTTAAAAGCACAAGCCGTCCGGTAAAGTTGGAATTATTGTAGATAATTTTTTCTAAAAAATAAAAAGTGATATGTTAATACTTTGTATAATGCTTAAAATATTAAAACCCACCCGTATATTTTTATTTTACTTTTACCAATTTCAAGTTAGTTTCCATTGATTACCTTATTTATTTTATTATTTTTGTACCATTTTAGTTACATTTCTCATTTTTTATATCTATTATTTTTATTTTTTAAACTAAGACTAATCTTTAAAAAAGAAAAAAGAAATGATGATGGAGGTAGAAAGTAATTTAAGAAATTTAAATGAAAAATTTTAAAAAATATAAAAAAATGAAAATTCATCAAAAATAATCCCAACTTTCATTTTGTTGCCTAAAACAGGCATTTCCGTTAACCCTCTGTTAGAAATTTAACGGCAACCCAAAACTGACAAATTTCAGTAAAGTTGGGATTATTATGCATCACAGTGAAAGGTGGGATTATTTTTGAAAGACCGGGTAAAGTTGGGATTATTTTGGGTAATTTTTCCTTTTTATTTCTATACCAATTTGTAAATAAAATGATTTTAAAAAAAATGATATTTTGAATGTTGTTCGAAATGTACGTGGAAAACAAATTAGGACGGAGGGAGTAATATTTAGGTGTGTGTAAGTTTAAATAAGGTAGTGAAATTTGTACTAAATAGTACTAAAATTGTAACACCCTAATCCGTCCAGGTCTGCAGCCCCTTTCGGACTAAAGTATTAACTTGGTAATCGTAAAATTTAAAACTTTTCAAACACTTTTATTTATCACGATAATATTTTTGATAACATATACAGTGCGGAGTTTTCAATATTGCAGAAGCTTAACAAATCATAATTACAAACATAATTTATTTATGTTCTTTAATTCAAAACCATCACATCCATTCCGACAATCTCGGCTCCGTCTGCCTCTAGAATCACGTCACATCATTCTTTCTATTAACCTGCGTGTAGCAAATAAAACATACTACACGCTCAGCGGTGAAGCTGAGTAAGCATATCTAATGCGTCGAACATCCATATAAATGGAATCCAAATTCATAATCAAATCATTTGATATCATGCACAGAGTATTCAGTTCAAAAATACAAAAATCAATATTCAACATTCGTCATTCAATATTCATATTCAACATTCAACATCCTCATTCAATAATATCCTTAAACTATTCTTAGTCTAAGGCCAATTTATTTGATGTTTACCAACTCTTAAACGAATTCTAGTTTAAGATATTTAAACTATATTCGAGTTTAAGGTACTCTTAACTAACCCTTAAGCTAGGCCTAGTTTAAGATACAATTTTTTAAAAAGAGGTTTTCAAAATCTTAAACTTATCTTCGCTTAAGGTCATCCAGAAACCGAACAGCGGAATGCTCACTGTCGGGTTGGGTGGTATCCCCAAACGAGTTCCTCTAGTTTGGTTTGTAGATCCCGTACGTGCGTTTTAACCCAGGGCACCGAATATTCATAATTATACCCGCAAGGCCTATTTCTAAGTCATCTTAGAGGTTTTCTAGATAGTCTTAGAAACCAACGTCACCTAGATATATCTTAGAGTTCTTCTAGATATCCTTAGAATTCAAATCATTTCATAATCATCAACATATTCATTTCAATTCATAATTTAATCTTCAATAATCATTTTAATCAGTAGTTTCATTAAGTCATAATCATCATAATAATCATTCATCATAATCATCAATCAACATAACATTTTGATAACAAACAGTGGCCTAGTCTCGAGTGTTAACACCCGAACTTACCGTCATGCATCACATAGTATTTTATATGCCAAAACATCATTTTTATTATACAAAATCATATTTATATTGTGCATAATTAATTGGTATCAAAAATAGGATTTCATAGTTCAAAAATCATGTTTTCTAAACAATAATTGATTAATATATGATAGGAAATTCAATTATTAACTATTAGCTTCATTTTCTTCAATAGTGTAGGGAGACAGTCTACTGTTACTTCTGATAATCTACTGTCTGATGTTCAGAATGGGCTGATAATCAATTATCACACTCTGATAATCGATTATCAAACTTCTGAGCAACAGAATAGGACGAAATATTTTGAGAAATGGTGAAGAAATGGTTAAGCTTTGGTAGTCTTATATAGGAAGGAGATGGGGAAAACTTCCAAGCCTGCAGTATCATTCCAATCGGCGTATCCTTGTAGTGGAGGAGGGGGCGCAGTCTCTACAGTGTCCCTTATTGGGACCAATTTTGGTTCTAGTCGGGGTACACTTTTTGGTCCAACTTTCTCCGAATTGAAATCCGTTTGCATTTTTGCGATCAGACAGTCGAATTCTATCCAACTATATAATTTTTATATCTATTTGAAATACTTTTTCCCGACATCATATTTTTGAGTGTTTGACTTTGACAGAGTCAAAATTGGTTTATTTGACCTTTATTCAAAAAGGTTCTCACATTTAATTCATATCATTTGTTCTCATTATTTATTTCAATAAATCATTTTAATGTTCATATTATAAATAATTTCTTTATTTATTCTTGATTTGGGTCTCTACTCATGTTCCCAATCAAGACCACATAAATACTCAACATATTGGATTTATCTCTATGAGACTTATCCTGATTTGTGTTATTGGATGTCAAAACACATTTCATTTTGGCCCAAAGCGCAATAACTATATATTTTAATCGAAACAAATTTGACTAATTGAATATTTATTCATTAAAAATTTTAGGGTATGTTTTGGGGCGTTACATTTCTCCCCCCTTAAAGGAATTTCGTCCTCGAAATTCTTCTAAGGGTCAACATTTAACATTTCGTAGTGATCTCACTTTATCATGACATGTCATGTTCATTTGGTTAAACCATAATTACGTCATTATCCAAACGGATACGTATTCTCAAACTGTCGAGGTTATCAAACTCGTTCTTTCTTCAAGAGATTAATAGGCAACGCATCCAACAACCATAACCTAAGTTCCTTTGCAAGGTATAACATCGTATTTTGGAGCATACTTGACATATTTGTACATCATTTCGTTCATTCACAAATCTCGATTGTATGTCATTAGTCAACAACATTCTTTCTTTGATTGAAAGTCCCTTAGCAGCATTTGTAGTTTTGAATCACAATAGATGTAGTGGGAACATCGCACCGAACAACGAAATCCAGAAAATAAATAAATAAATAAATAAAGCAGAGAGAAAATATTTATACGTGGAAACCCAAATCGAGAGACAACCACGAGCCTTTTTAGGTAGTACCATGCCAAGAGGAGTAACTTTTATTAATCTCGGGGGATTGTTTGCATATACATGAGTGCTTGAACTTGAAGCTATTAATGGAACTCCAAGAAGAAGAAGAATCTAACTATTATATGGATTATGGAGTCTCAAAATGTAGAAATTGGCCTCCTCTTGGTTTCTCTCATAGCCTCCTCTTAATAGTAGATTGATGAAATGGGGTAGAGGGAGACAAGTGATTATTCTTGGGTCTCGCGCTAATGTTGATGGAATCTCTTATGCATGAATACAACCCTTGCATACATATATCTTTTGGCCCCTTATATCTCATGAAAGTATCTTCTTCGTCTTCATATATTTGGCTCCGCCTTGAATAATTTGTGTGACTTGTATCTTGGGTTGGACTGAATTGGCCATACTTTTACTATTCAAGTAATATTGAATTGGATGAAATCCCTTATCCATCACATGCCCCCTAGTTTTGAATATGTTTTGGGAAATGAGACAGATTCATGAAACTATATGCCTCGGTGAGTCGCCTCATGGAATAGAACTTTTCTCTACACCACGAAAAGGAGGCTCTCTTTTTTGGAGGGTCCTGTTACCTCGTGGGTGAGAATTTAACTTGTACTTTTTGTAATTGGTCCCACGGGTAGCGTTAGTGATGGAATCCAAAATTTCGGGCGTCAACCTAAAGAACTCGGTATCGGGTCAACACCACACCGAACAATGAAATCCAATGAATAAAAAATAAAAATAGAATAGATAAAGCGGAGAGAAAGTATTTTGGCGTGAAAACCCAAATCATGATAAAACCACAAGCCTTTTTAGGCACTACCACGCCAAGGGGAGGAACTTTTATTAATTTCAAGGGGAATTTACATATACATGAGTGTAGGAGCTTGGAACCATTAATGGAGCTCTAAACTTAAAGAGGAAGAACTATCTAAGAGAGAGACCATTTCCTCTAGGGCTTCTCCCTTATAAAGAAAAGAGGAAACATTAGATGTTAAATGTGTCACATGGTGGCTTTGTGAAGGATGCATGCATACATGTAACTATGTTTATTGTGTCATACCAAATATCACTTCAAATATATTCTTTTCTCCACATATGTCTGGCTCCGTCTTGAATAATTTATCGAACTTGAAATCTTGGGTCGGACTAAACAAGGCTTTTGTGAACATACATTCCAATTAATTAATATATAGATAAAATCCCTAATTCATCAGTGTTCATTCTAAAATAATATATTGTTTGTTAGAATATAAACAACTGTTCCTGGACCACAACCACAAGCTTGAGCTTTTGGTTGAGTTGGTTCCTTGACATGGTATCGGAGCCTCGTTGACTAAGATGTCACGGGTTCGAAACTCAGAGCCACCCAGTTTAAAAAAAATTAAGGTTTCACGTGCAAGGCCCGAAAAAGACTACGCCTGCACGTGAGGGAGCGTGTTAGAATATAAATAACTGTTCCTGGGCCACAACCACAAGCTTGAGCTTTTGGTTGAGTTGGTTCCTTGACATTGTTAATTCTGAAACAACATATTGTTTATTCCGAAACATTTTTTTAATTATAAGTTTGTCATGATGTAGAGTACATCCAGCTACACCTTATAATTTCTATTCTGAAACAAAAGTGTTAAATTGTCTTTCACTTTCTAATAACGCCTTTTGTGTAAATAAAATAAAGAGTTCATCTTCCCTTTTTCCCTACCATATTACATTCCTTGTCATCTTCTTCCAATATCCCTTATCTTCTTCTTATCGCTGCAATGCATATTTGTTGTGTGTTGCATAGGCGACGACAGCATCGGCTCACAAGCAAGATTTGTCAATGTAATTATTGCCCACATGAATATCAATGCTTTCGTTTAAACTCCAATATTGGTTGTGGGCTTGCGACGTCAAATGTGATCCCGCGTGTGAGTTGCGTCCTAGCCACGGTCCATTCTTCAAATGTTTTCTAGTAAAGAAAAAATTGAATTAAAAATAAAATATTTAGAAACTACTTAAATAAAAATTCCATATTTTTTATCGTTAAAATAGAAGTACAATGCCTATATATATATACACACACACACATATACATATATACATATATATATGTATATATATATATATATATATGTCACTATACAAAGTTATAATGTCAAAGCGCAAACTTATATTTTATAGATAAAAATATGGAACTTTTATTTTGGGGATGAATGATATGTTTTACTCATGTTTGGGTGATTTTTCTAGTAATTAATGGTTTTTCATTTTTAGTTTCAGTTGAAATATTGAAATAATAATATTGTTCATTGAATCCTTTAATATAAAATTTGAGAGTTGATTGATGAGAATTTTGACATGTGTCACATAAAGAGGTTTATTTTAATGGCACATCAGCCTTTTCCACGCGTCATTTCCTGAGTGTCCATCTGTTAACCTTTTTCATTCAACGAAGAAAGTTTGAGGAAAGGTTTCCTTTGTTCGTTGCAGGCAATTCGGCTAAGAAGGCACACATTTTATGAAGCCAACGTATTTTATGAAGCCAACGTATTTTATGAAGCCGGCTGGATTGTCGAGCCCGACGGCAGCACATACCGCAAGGTTCACTTCTTCTCTTTCTCTCACTCCTACACTTTACTTTTTCCCTTCTTCTTCTCGAAGTTTTTCCGCATATCTGATGATTTGCGGAGTGCGATTTCAATAATATCACCGGAAATTTTCTCTACTGTAATAATCCTTTTAAGGAGACGCTTGATTGATTCCGCGTTTTGAATCGGAATGGTCTGATGTCTACTGTTTCCAGGAATTTTCATGATTGATACCAGTCAAGGGACTCGGATGATTTCCAGAAATGGAAACCGGATTTAGAGATTAGGTCTTAATTACCCTTAATTGTTTCTCTAAATTAGGGATTTACACAAGTTCGGGCCCTGGATGGACCTTTGTTTCTACATTTGGACCACTTTAAGCATTTACTTTCTGAAACTTTGAATCATTATATGAAGCCTGGATTATATGAAACTTTGATCTATCCTTCTTTCTGAAACTTTGAATCATTATATGAAGCCAACGTATTTTAGGTCTTAACATGATCTCTTAAATTAATGTGTACAAATTTTTTCATGTTTATACCCTCATCTATGTGTGCATATATCTGTGTAGATTTTTCCATGTTTAAACCTTCATCATTAATTCTGTTTATCGCTATTTAATTAATGACTGATTCCTACTATACCTCCATGTTTATATATGTGCTAATTCAGCTGTGGTTGTGCCCCAATCTTAATTTTTAATTGTATCATGTTTACAAATATATTTAATATTTGAAATTAACCTTTTGCCATAGACTGTCCAGAGGCTGCTGCCTGGTTCTGTTTGATTGGCTTTTGGGTCTGTTTTTGTTTGTTGTAAGGTGAACTGTACTTGAATGAGGGCTGGACCATGATTGGGTTTGGAAATTTTTGATTTCTGGGCTGCCATCTTCAAACAACAGACCCTCCTGTGGGTTTGATGTTTGCTCGCTGAACTCAAGTTCTTGAGGGATGGGGATGGCACGCATAGGTTGCTGGCAGGCCAACCTTCTCCCTTTTGCATTGGATGATCTTCTTCTGCCTTGGTTTGGTCTACCACTACCCAGGTCCCTCATGTCTTTGTTTGGCATTCATACTTAGTGTTTTAGGCAGCTCTTGGGTAGCCATACTACTTGGTGTTTGTAGGGCTAATTCATGGATCTATTGAGGACGTCTCTGGGTGGAAAAGGCCGCTGTGCTACTGGTTTGGGGCTGCCTAAAGTCACTGGAGCCTTGAACCAACCGTGCCTCTTCTTCCTCAGTTGGGAGTTGTTGAACACCTTTGGGTGGGATTACCAGTTGTATATCTCGCTGCATCCCTAACATTTTTGTTGGGAAGCCACTGTGAGCCCGAGGCTTCAGTGTTCAACACCGTCAAGGGAAGGGTACGATGGACCCCCCAGAGTGTGAAAGCTGAGACTTCTTGAGAACCCGTAACCCCTTTGTGTGACTAATGATGTCGGACTGGGTGCTTCTCTCGCGTTTTATGACTTCAGGCCTGGTCCACTTGAGTTTGCATGAACCATTTTCTATTGCTGTCTCTGTTCAGGTTCGGCTGAGTTTACTCTAGCACTTTGGTCTATGGTGAACTCGTGGACTTGGGTCATGACATTTATTTCCTGAGGGTGAACTTGATGATCATACACGTGTTGAGGACTTTTCATTGTAGTGGCAACAATGATGCAAATGACAAGATTGAAGAAAAATAATACAGAGTATTATACTTGATTTATTGAAGAGTTTTGTTTTACAGTTTGACTTACACCATGTAAGAGTGGATAGTAGTAGATGATTAGACTACACCATGTAAGAGTGGATAGTAATAGATGATTTTATAGGTTTATCTACAAATACGTTTATTTGGTTTAGCAGTTTAGCCTAAAAGCTTAAATATATGTCTAGGTTCAAATGTATTGGTCAATGATAAGTTTAAAATTCAATAAATTTCAGTAAAATGGTCTTTTGTCGTATATTGCATCCTATAACTATTATTCTATATAATATAGCTTTTGTTTATAATTTTTTTTGTGATGGATCGTACCTACACATATAAAAATAATAAAGAGAATATGAATAAATAACAGAAACTATAGTATTGAAAATTTGAAATCATGTTTGTGGGCACAAATTTTGTATAAAAATTATGATCCCACTTGAAGGAAAGGAAATTGTAACCTATTTCTAAGTAAATTTATACCACCACGTTAAAGAAAGATATAAAAAAATTTAACAAATAAATTTTTTTCCAATACATAATGTAATCTTTCTTTTATACTCCATCAAATTTTTTCCAGTGTGACCACAAAAAAGACAGATTGGATGAATATTTCGGGATAAGGTCATAAGGTAATACCTAAATTTTAATTTAAAATTGGGATTGATAAAAATCTCTTATAAAAATGATACTACCTACCAAAGTCATGATCAACTTTATGTTGTTTCTCAACAAATACATGATTAAAAATATTATTTATAGATGACAATAACACACAAGTAGTATAGCTTGAAGTCTTTCAAAAAAATTTGGAAATAAAAAACACTTAGTTGAGTACACTCTCTATTATTCGAATATTATTTATTTTACATTAGTGTTCGTGTCTATCTTACTAAAAATCTTGCTATAAATGGTTTTTATTCTAGAAAATATATTGCAATGAATTTTTTTTTAAAATTGACAAAAAAATTCTTTAACTCCGTGCGTGGCACGGGTCAAAAAACTAGTTATAGAATACATGATAGATTATATTTAAGAGAGACTTCTAACACAACTAGAAATTGAAAAAAAAATAACTAAAATACTCCCTCCGTCAAAAATTAAACTTCCCTCTTTGACTCGGTGCGCAAATTTATGTGGAATGAAAATTGTGTTGACTTTCCCATTATGCCCTTTTTACCCTGTTCACCCCACTAGCATCTGTGACGCCAATTAGCTCTGCATATGCCGACGCCGGGACTTCCACACCACCGCCGCCGACGCTTCGGCACCACCACTGATGACGCTTCCACAGCCCCCGCCATCGCAGCGCCCCGACGATGCAAGCCCCTAGCACCGCAGCCCCCGACATTCTCTCATCGTCACAACCCGCACCCCCTCGTCGCAGACCTGCATCACTCGCTATCACAACCCCCTTTATCGCAAAGGTGTATTTTCAGAATTCTCGTTGAGGAATATCAACATCCCACCACAGATCTACACAAAATTGGAAAAAAAAATTTCGCTGCAAATCTAGATCCGACGAAGACGCAACCCACAGCTGGAAGTTTTCGCTGCAAATCTGGGAAAAAAAATTTCGCTGCAAATCTGGAAAAAAATTTCATTGCAAAAAATCTCGCTGCAAATCTGGAATTTTTTTTCTTATTCAAGTTGATAGAAGAAGAAGGAAGAAGAAACAGAAAAAAATGTAGAAGAAAGAAAAAGAGACGGAAGCAGAAAGAAGAAGAAGATGGAAGAAGGAAGAAAAAATAAAGAAAGAAGAATGACGGAAGAACAAAGAAAAAGAGAATGAATAAGAAAGAAAAAAGAAGAAAAAGAAAGAAACAAAAAAATCAAGAAAAAAAATCGTAGATGAAAGAAGAAAGGAAGAGGAGGAATAAGGGCATAAGCGACATTTCAATTACAAAAACTTTCCTAAAATAGAAATGGGAAGTTTTTTGTGCACGAACGAAAAGGAAAGTGAGAAGTTTAATTGTGGACGGAGGGAGTATAACATCTGTCGTAAATAGAAATAAGAATTTGACTAATAATCAAACACTATCATAAGTAATACTATTATTATTGTCTAACATCTCGTCTCAAGCTGAACTCTGGTTGAAGCAAGAGGAAGTTTGGACGCTAGCTGGTAACCACAAGCCTTGAGAAGAGAGAAGTCTGACATGCGCATGCGTTGATAGCTGCTAACGTCGAAAAAGAAGAGACAAAAGTCTGACTTGCGCTGGTAGCTTCTAACTTCTTTAAAGAAGGGAGAAAACTGACGTGCGCTTGTAGCTCCTAACGTCAAAGAAGAAAAGAATCATATTGGAAATATCTATTTGACTGAAGATCCTTGACATTTTAGTTGGTCTTTTCTTGGATCCGGGCAATGCCCTATTTCTTTTTCTCAATTGTGAGAATTTTTATGACCTTCTTAGAGGGATGAGTTGTAGAAGTACTCTTTCCTTTTTCTCTATTTTTCGCTTTTAGCTTTGTTTTTGTTTTGATTTGTTTCGGATTTTTTATTGGGCTTACATAAGGGAAAGAAAAGGAAGATTGATAAAGAATGAGTGATTGAAGAGAGAAAATTAAAAGGATGTAGTTCGACATGGATTTGAGACACTGAAGATTGATGGTGATGAGTAGTTCTTGTTGGAAAAACAATTGTGAACAATTGAAAAGGAGAAAAGAATATGATGAGTGATAAGGGCAATTAGAAGGGATGGAAAAATATCGCCGGCACTCCGCGGAGTGGCGGGTAGGGTTTAGGAGCAGAAAGAGGATGATAAGTCCGTTTTGTACGTACTTATCTTCTCCGCATTTAATGTGTTATTGTCTAATTTTGGATCAACCAAGACAATTTCTCAATAATTTTTATAAGTTTTTGTTTATGATTGTAAAATGCACAAAAGTTATGTCTTGTTGTAAGAAGAATAAAAGTTGAGTCAAACATTGTGCGAAAGAGGGTGAAAGTTGGAAAGTGCATAGCATCAAGAGAACTGAGGTCAAACTAAAAGAGAATTGTTTCAAGATAAAGATCATAATATAAAAAGAGATTAAATTGGGTCTTGAAGCAAAAAGAATTGAAGAAAATGATGAAAAATGATGTTTTGGGCTGAAAAGTAGTCCAGACCTCGCACTGGCCCCAGAGAGGCGCCCGCCTAATGGATGCTTGGATCTTTGACAAATACAGATCGCAATTTCAATCACGGAAAATCAAGAATCTGGCTCAGGCCCCGGATAGGCACCCACATGGACCTCAGGCCCTCGCGCGCTAGAGGCCTGGACTGAAATTTTCTCCAATAAAAGGAGAGCTTTGCCCCTCCATTCCTAATCACCTCCACTTCGGGTCTTTAAGGCCTGGAACTCCATTCTCTGCCCTTTTCTAAGTTATATTTTAATATTTTAGTATAATTTTGTTCCGGTTGTCTCAAAGTGGCTCCGAATATTCTTTCTGTTGTAAGTTTTAATATTTAAAATTTTAAAAAATGTTTTTACTTCATTCTCTATTGGGAAAAATAGTATAGATTTTGATGATGATGTATGTAGATTGTAATAGTGACTCTAGGTATCCGCCATTATTCAATGTAATTTCAAATAAAACTTGTGATATTTCATTTTAAGTTTTGAGCATTCATACTTTGAAGACTTATCAAGATTAAAGATGTGGAAATTGGAACTTTCGCTCGGTAATATCAGAGACAAGAAAGGAATTCTCAATGAAGTCAAACTACTTTGGAATTCTCAAATCCGGAATACTCAATGATACCCGGAAGTCTCGCAGCCATCCGTATGAAGACTAGCTATCCGGATTGGAAGACTAACGCGGATCGCTTTTTCTCACCTGGAAGTCTCAGAATGACTAATCCAGAACTGTCAAGCCAAGAGCTGGATTTCTCAAAGGTGAACCAGAACTCTCAGAACAGACAAGTGAGAAAAGACTTAGAAATTTCTCTAAGTCATGAATGAAGAAATTCTACCCGTTGGCAAGGAAAAATCAGTCTCTTGATTTTCAGACGGCTAGATTGGGGATAACTTAGCTTATTCAAGAACAAATGATAAGAAGACAAAATGTGGGCTCTCCAAAATTGAAGAGATCGGTCAGAATTCTTGAACAAGCACAAGAAAATAAAATGAGAACGCCACTCAATAAAGAGCTACAGTTCAAAATTCTTGAACAACAGCTAAAGGACGGATTCTATGACAAAAAGGGAATCCCTCTTCAAACAATGGTTTATGTCCAAGAGAATGTTATTCCAAGGACAATCCTCACTCCCTCTTCATTCAATTTGAAGCCAGCAAATGCAACGGTTAATCTATTCCCTTCAACAGATAGATTAACCATCCAGTCTATATATAGCTCCTACGGAAGACTGAAGAGAACATGAATCATCGAATCTACCATCAATCACAGTTAACCAAAAAGCTTGATAAAGAGAGAATTCTAAACTCCTTATCCAGAAGCAAACTCCTCCTTCTAAAGAGCTATAAAGTGAAAGCACTTGAAGGTTTCCTTGCCTTAAGTACAACACCACGTTGATGGATAAAATTTAAATCAATCATCTTGATTAAAATGGGGCACGTTAGTTTATTACAAGCTGATTTTGCAAGTCCTAGTGTTCTTACCTAACAGTTGTTGAAGAAGCTTGACTTTCGCAGGAACATCAAAGTCAGCACGAGTGTAGTAGCAATATTGGCCTTGCGAAGATATACCGTGCAAAGTAACAAAAGTGTAATTATTGGTTCATTATCTACAACCAACTACATAGTGGATTTTGAGGACGTAGAAGGATTACCCCACCTTCGAACCTCGTTAAAGTTTGTGTCTCTCTCTCTCTCTCTCTTTATCTTTACTTACTTTGTAAATATATCAACTGTGAAACTAACCAATCCATATTGATTACCGCTCCAACAATCCACCAACTTCCGCACACAATCTAAGTTCTCAAGAACTTTAGATTAACAACCCTTTAACGTTTTTAAAAAGGAAATGAAAAAGATTTTAAATCTGTTGTAACACCCCAACCCGCATGACCCAAACCCGTGAGACAGCGGACCGGTGTGCCACTAAATTGGTATTCGAATTTGCGACATTTTCAAAACAATTTTAAACAAACGTTCTTTCAATACATATGAAAATCCATCGGAGTA